CGGGCCGGGCTGTCGGCGCGTAGCCGCTGCTGCGCTGCGCTGGGCTGGGCCCTAGCTGTGACATCGCTTGGTAGCGGGAAGTGTTGAGGAATCTTCCAAGAGGGGAAGGCTGCACTGGGTGTCCTCGGGGGCCGACCTGGAAAATGCTGCAGAAGGTAGCGAAAGCAATTCCTCGTGAGGCAATGTCAGCCAAGCGGTTTGATTTTTAGACTTGATCATCAGGTGTAGATTATTGGAGGTGTTCTGCCTACAGTCGGCTGATGCTATGTTGTATCCATGTTATTGCTGAAAAGGAATGATGCTTCTGCCTACGTATAATCAGTGTCATGATTCATAATTTGCAGCTGGGGTAGGAACAATATTCATTCATTAGTTTTCTGGCAGTCACTGGCACAAGCTGCTATTTGTCTACCTGTAATCCCACTTTGGAAAATGTAGTGCATGCATACATAAGAAGTGTGATCTAAGTCATCACATAATAACAGGAGAGACCAGATTTAAAATATAGCTCTCAAAGATCACTGATAATTGGTTTATTAGTGCCTGTAGTGTCTTAAAATTAAGCCATGTCTTTTAGCCTTAGCTGTGGTATGAAAAAAGTCATATCTAACCCTTTGTCCATGAACGACGACGTTATCTGTACACACTGGATTTGATTATGTTCTGACAGGCATGCTGACCAAGAAACACCAGTTTACACTATGATCAAATGTTAACACATTCATTTATTTGTACCAAAATGGTAAAAAAAGGTATTGATGTATGTAATTTCAAAGTGATATTTAAAAAAATTTCTGGATTCCATCCCATAGTCTCAAATATCTTTGGAAAAGTATTAGTAATCCAAGCAGATTGCAGAACTTTAAAAAATAACCAAACAAAAAAAACCCTCTATTTGGATATTCTGAAAGATTTGTTTTCCTTGTTGTATTTACGCTAATTAAAAAGATGTAACTAAGAGGATCACGTGCAACAGACTGTAACATCAAAAATTATTGTTTCTTTGGAGCCTTGGTTGTCTTTTGGATCGGTGTCCAAGGATCCATTTCCTATCTTCAATCTCTGCAGCTGATTCCAGGGCTACCAGCAACAGAGTACAGAATTTCATTTTCTTTATACAGAAAATGTGTTCTGATCTCCTTGGCTGACTTGCATGTTGAAGGAAGAATGCTGAAATCCTTGGTGCTCAAAGCTGTGGATATTTAAGGGAACAGTTTTCACATCCACCTTATTTTTTTGTTTTGGATAAAACACGGCAGCTAATTCCATGCGTTATTGAGAACCTCTTAATAAAAATTTACAGAGTCAGTATATTTCCAAAATTATTGCCTCTGAATTTGCAATGCAAGAGATATACATCAGATAGGAATCGAAGCCCAAATGTCCTGACTTACCTGCTACAGCCAGAAAGTTGATATCTTTAGAACAAATGGTGATGGGCATTAGCCAGGAGCATTTCTGGCAGCCTGTTAACAGGGGGATAAGGTATTACAACTGCTCTGAAATTACAGAGTGACCCCTGTATTTCAGAATGTTCAGAACTTTGTTTTAAATATAGCCTGTGAGATCAGCTGGCAAGTCTTTATTTCTGAACTCATCATTGCTTAGAGAGGTATATATATTGATCAAATGGTGGTAAATTGAAATCTTTGCTCCTTGAAATGAAGGCTTGGAGCAAAGGAAAGAGTCCTGTTTAGTTTTACTTCTTAGTGAAACTTTACAAGGTGTATTTCCAAGTTAAAATGTGTTCTAGTATATTCATAGGTGATTTAATGTAAAATCACGGGAAGTTGCTCCCTCCTAGGGGGTTCTAAATGTGCCAGTAGCTGTTCATTGTGGGTTTGTTCATTGTTACTATAATAAGGATTTACATTACTTCATGCTCACCAGCCCTGCTGCCTACCTTTTTTAAGGTATCTCTGTGGTTTTGCTTAGTGAATTGCTCTGTCTGACAGTAAATGCCAGAGCTGACTAAAGGATGGTGGGTTTAAAGTCTTAAATAGTCTGGTAACAGAGAGAGAGAGGGAGAGAGAGAGGCAGCTCTTTCTGTTAGAGAATAGTAAATGGATCCAGCAGAATAAGAGCACTTCTCTCATAAGTGAGTGCTGCATTTTGAATACTCAGTACCGCAATTTTCTTTCTTCTAGGATATTACAGAAACTCCCACTAATGACTGTTCCACCTCTCTAAAACCATAGGTTATTTGGAACAGTGGTACATTAATGGGTGGGCAGCTGCTTAATTTCGATTGTTAGTTACAATGAGGTACAACACTTGTGGTGCTTCATCTGAGGAAAGAAACAGATTTATTATGTATGCCCAAATTACCATCGTGTTAGTATTCTGATGCTCTACTATAGCATATACTGGACAAAAAACCCTTGTTTATCTCTCAACAAAAATCCAAGGAGTATCCTGAAATACATGCTAAATATGCCAGCAGTTTTTGGTAATGGTAGCAGATAGATTGTTCTTTTATTCTTTTCTCGTTTCTGAACAGCTATAACGTCTTTCCTATATTTTCAGTTAAAATGCACATAGTAAGCTTGCTAATCAAAATCTGTTACTAGGTAACTGAGAAACACAACAAACATTTATACCACTGTCTTAGTGTTAATAGTCTACTACTATTAACATATTTATTACCTCCCACGTGCAGTAAATGGAAAGAGAAGCTCACCTTGATGTGTTTTACCCATGTTATTAAATACTGACAGTGTAATGTAACCAACATTTTCCATAACTGAGCACCCAGAGTTAGTCACACGTACTTAGCCTGGGGGGAATCCAGTCTCTCTGGATGATCAGTGACAAAAATGCCATTGAACCGCTGCAGCACAAGCATTTCATGGCTAGTTTTCAGCTTTCGTACTAGCAGTTACCTAAGAGGTCATTTTCTTAGACGTCTGACATCTGCTTTTAACAATAACGTCCTAAACAGTGGTCTGCTCCAGAGGGGAATGTTCAAACGCTATGAATACAGTTCTTGTGAAAAAGAAATTTTAAAGAAGAATTTGAATGTCTTCAGTGCAAGGCTATCTATAAAAGCCAGGGGCACGTGGTTGTCCCTTTAGTGCCTTTCGCTACCAGAAGATGGGGTTTTGCTGTTTCTTTGAGCTGCATGTAGAGCTGCTGTTGATTCCAGGGAAAAACTAAACTTTGCTTTAGTGTGGCCTGGATAAAACATGATGCACAGATTGACTGCATCTGGAATATTCCTGCATTTGCCACTTCTGTCACTTTGTCTGCATGTTGTGGCCTCTAGAGGTGTTTGGAAAGCGAGGAGAACACAGTATGGAGACGCCTTTCACCGTCTTCCGTAGATTAACTTTCTTGGGCTTCTGGTTCACTCGTTATAGGGTAACGTACAGCCCTTTGCTAATACAGAATAGACCTCGAAACAATCTCTGTAGTAATAAAGCGTAAACATC